TATTTTTTTTTTTTTTTTTTTTTTTTTTTTTTTGAAGAAGCTGTTTCTCTGTCCCCGCAATCTTATTATTTCACAAGCTCCTGGAGGAAAAGTGCCAGACCCACTTGGGTCTGTCAAGTTAACACAATTGGTAAATGGGGGCTGCAGCTCAGAGATCCAGTCTGAGTAGTAGGACCATGTGGTTTCACCATTGAGAGAGGGTGAAGGTAGCCAGGCCAGTCACCTGTGAAGTGCAATCAAGACAGACTAGAAGGGGTATAAAATGCAGCTCACTTGATAATTGTGATAAAGGTGTAGTCCACTCTACCCCTTCTGTTAGAGCAACTAAGCAGCTAGATGCAGAAGGTAGAAAGATGTTTTCCTCTGCCAAGCTGAGAATTAGTGGTGAGTTATCAGGCAGTAATGTACAATAGCACTGTTTGCCCAGTCATGGCTTGAAGACCAGAGATAACTGGCCAAAGCCCTGGTTATCAAAGGTCATTTAGTTGCTATGCATTCCTGGAGAACATCATTTGATGCTTCTGATATAATGTTTAGAGCTGGAGCATCCACAATTACTTTGAGGCACCACGTGTATCTATGTTGTTCTGGGATTCTTCCAGAAACAAGAACCTCCATCCAGGACCTATGATTTGATGGTGAGAGGCTATTTAGCTCTCGGACAAGGTTCTAGAAAAACTGAAAGATACCAGGTCTACTGCAAGGTCTCTGGGGATTTCTCAGCCCCCTAGGAAAAGAATTTGGGAATCAAAGTTTTGTTGCCAGAGAAACCATACCAAGCCCCTACTTCCTATACCAACAGCAGCCCCTTGTTCAGCATTAGCAGCCGTAGCTATCATGAGCTAGTGGGAGTTCCACTGTATCATCTTCCTCTGCACCAGCCTCAAGTTTGATGGGATGCCCAAGAAAATTAGATCAGTTTTAAACCTATAAGAGGGCTTACCTTCATTTGAAAACAATCTCCATGTTTCTTATATACACGGACCGATGGATCTTGGAGACTGTACAACATTCAGTTAAACATTATCCCTTGCCCCAACTCTCCTTCCCCATCTCTTTTCATGCATCTTTTGCCTGAGGACATGCTCAGATCAGAAATTCATTCAATACTGGAGTTGGATGCCATAGAGGAAGTTCCCAAAGAGTTACAAGGGAATGGATTTTATTCCAGGTTGTTTCTGATCCCAAAGAAAGATGGAGATCTCTGATCCATTTTAGACTTTCAAAAACTCAACTCTTTCAACAGAAAGTTCAACCTCTGCTTGTGTATCCAAGTCATGATCAATTCAAGACTGGTTTGGGGCTCTTGCTGTACAGGATGCTTATTGTCATATCTCAATCAGATATTCACATCAAAAATACTTGTTGTCATTCCATATGGCTTGTCTGCAGCACCTCAAGTGCCTGTCAATAGTAGCAGCACATTTGAGAAGTTAGGGTCCCTTACTTGTACAATTGGCTCATCTGGGCATCCTCACAGGATGTCACAATCATGTACCCTATTCCAAACACTGGGGTTCAAGATAAATGGGAAGAAATTGCACATATCTCCAGCCCACATCATACCTTTTGTTGGTTAAATTTTGTATTCTCAAAAGGGCAGAGATTTTCTTCCAGAAGAAAGGCACTTTAAAATCCTTACAGCGATAAAAGTACTACAGGAGAACTAATATCAAACAGTGCTGTTCTTACTCAAGCTTGGTGGCATTATGGCTTCTGTGACATACATAACACTACGTACACATTTAAAGATGAGGCCTCTACACTGGCTAAAAAGACACTATACACCAAATACAGACACTACCCAGAGGTGTGTTCCTATCCCCACATTCAACCCTGCAACTCTGTCAGACACAGTAGACTCAGATGCTTCCAGTCTGGGCTGGAAGCTTGTTACAAGAATTTGACAGTTCAGTCACTGGAAGTTCAGAGAGGAAAAACTCCATATCAGTATTAAGAGCAATACTTCGGGCTCTCAAATCCTTTCTCCTTCAGCTATATGGCAGAGTAGCTCAAGTAGTTACCAGCAATACTACATCGATATTTTATATGAACAAGCAAGCTGTGGAAAGACACTTCAGCTCTGTGGGAGTGGTGCATAGTATACCAAATTTATCTTCCTTGCAAACAAAGACAAGATACTGGCCGATCAGCTGAGCAGAAACTTGCATGATCAGCACAAGTAGTTACTCAAGAACTTGGTAACAAACTATATCTTCTCCGTGTGAAGGTATCCGGAGATACATCTTGTTGCAACAAGACACAACTCCAGATGTAAGAGGTTTTGCTTCAAGGCAGGTTGTATTTCCTCTAGACTGTGAGGTAGGTCTCCTCTGCATTTCCCCCAATTCTTCTAATTCAGAGTTCACTGGCAACTAAACAAGACAAAGCCAAGGTTATTGTGATTGCCCTGGCCTGGGCAAGACATTAGTCATTCTCAGATACTGTGACAATCACAAGGGTTTTATCTGTCTCCTGCAATTCCAGACTTACATAACAGAGAGATCGGATTGCCATCCGTATCCAGACTCTCTCCACTTGACGGCATGACCCTAGAGCTTGAGCTATCTGTTTGGAAAAAGTAAAGAAGAGTCTATTCAGCTTCAGGAAGCACTCAACTCACCAGTTATGATTATAAGTGGAAAAGTTTCTTTTCGTGTGTAACCCACAATAACATGAACCAAGCTTCAGCTCCTGTTCAATCCATACTGAAGTAATCACTTCATTTGAAATCCTTTGGGCTGTCCTAACGGTCAGTAAAAGTACATTTCACAAGCATCTTGGCTTCAAGATACCATCAAAGTGTAGTCAAGCAAAATACTATATTTAGACATGCTATAATGAGTTTATTGAAGGGATTAATGAACATCTACCCTCTGATTAGTGAGTCCATATCTACATGGAACCTCAATCTAGTACTTAGCTCATGGAACTTCCTTTCAAGCCTATGGGAGAATGTTCCCTGTTTCATATCACAATTCAGGCAGCCTTTATGGTAGTTATTAAATACACTAGATGAGTGAGCAAGTTGCAGGCTCTTATTGCTGATTTCCCCTCTCTCCCTTACAGTGGTTTCACAAAAATATCATAGTCCTTTGTCTGCATCTGAAATTTCCCTTCAAGGTTGTAACAAAACTCCATCTTAACCAGGCTATAAACTTGACAGTATATTTTCCCAAGCTTTACTTTCACTCAGGGAAGCACAACTTAGAGGGCTAATGCTCTCTCGGTATCCATTTGAATCAGTCTAAGGAATACAGGCAGTCACTTAAGGTTTTTTTTGTGTCATTCAGAAAAGAGTAACGGTCTGGCAATCGCATGCCAATGCCTTTCTAAGTGAATTAGAATAAGTATGGAGAGATTTATAAACTTACATCTATTCCTCTTCTAGAAGCGCTTAGAGTGCCCTTGACTAGAACAAAGGCTGCTTCTGTGGCCTGCCTTAGACATATTGTTGGTGGAGTTGCTGTCTGGGCTGTTAGCTACAATATTCTCATATTAAAAATCTGTAGAGTTGCTACGTGGAGCTCTATTTCATAAACTTTAGAAATATTCCTTAGAGCTGGCATCTAAGTCAGCTGCAGTTTGGTGAAGTAGTATTACAGTCTCTGTTTAACTAGGACTCCATGTTGTACTATCCAGAGACAAGAGTACTGCTTATCCACCTATCCTAAGAGTAGGAAAGTGCAGAAGCCACTCAGAAGAAATGAAGGTTACTCACCTGTAACCAAATTCTTCAAGATGAACTCTGCATATTCACACTCCCCACCCACCTTCCCCTCTTACTCAGTCTTAATTTCAACTTTGGACCCAAGAAGGCAATGGAAGGAACTGAGGCATTTTGTGCACCATGACCTGTCTCCCTATTATAGTCCTGCCTTCCAAATGCTTGGAGACAAAAGGGGTCTGAGAGCACTTCAGTGAGCACTGCTTCTAGAAGGTTTCACTGGGCCAAGCTGCACTGTCGGCATATCCCAAGAATGTGAAAGTGCAGGGATTATCTTGAAGGTGAGTAATCTTAAATGCTAAAATATAAATGAACTACTTTCTTTTGTTGGTTGTTCTTTGTTTTTGCAGATGACATGCTGAGCATAATTTTTGTCTTTATTTCTTTTTTAGGATTCTGTACTTATGCAGTTTTGTGCAAACAAGTTAGACAAGAAGGACTTCTTTGGGAAATCTGACCCTTTCCTAGTATTTCATCGAAGCAATGAAGATGGCAGGTAGATAACAAAATTATAAAGACAAAAGGGATATCTGATGATGGTAGTATAATACACAGTTATTGCATTTTGATGATGTTTGTCAGACTGCAAGTTCTAATTTGTTCTGTAACCTCATAACATTTGCTTGGAATATAGTTTACTGTTTTAACAAGTTCAATTATCTAAACTAGATAATGTTATGGCAGTGTAGAAATAAGACTATTATTTTAACACACAGTTAAAATAACGTAACTAAGAAATTTTAAAGATGGGTTTATGAGTAAAGCTAGAGTGCTATGAAAAATGGCATGGAATTTATTATTATGGAAAATAAATCGTGGTAAATCTTAAATGTTAATAGAATTCTAGAAGAATCTGTGAAGAATATATTAATGCATAAAGATTGATTTTGATAAGAATCCTTTTGCTGGAAATTTGGAGACATATTTTAACCTTTTCATTAGAGTCCTGAGGGAAAAAAGACGATGAACAAAATTTCAAAACCTCTCTGTACATAAATAATTTTCAGATGTATCTATCTTCTACGTTCATGCTTCAGTCACTAAAATAGATTTATCTCTGTTGTGTTCCACTTAAGAAATATCTGATCTACTAATTCCTGGTCCAGGGACTGCTTATGTGGGTCTATTAGCAATTGGCTTAACCTGTTTCCTGGAGTCTTCCTTTCTGGTATACTGCTCATTGTCATATTCAAGAATGTAGCAGTCCAGAGGCTAGCTATGCCTGATGGTGGGTCCGTGGGGAACTAGCCTTACTGGCAAATTCTGGAGCATAGGCTGTTCTATATAAGTGGCTATTGCCAAGTACTGTGCCTCTCAGAGGCAGTTTGCTGGAACAGCTCAGCTGCTGAAGATTATAAAGTGCAGCAGGAAAGTACTTGGGGCTCTATTGAAAAATTGCAGGCCACTCTCTCCTCTCCCTTCCACTGATGCATTCAGACAGTCAATAGACCATCAGTGGGGAACCTCCTGAGTGCTGGTAAGTGTGGCTGAGCCCTGTCCATAAGAACCACACCCCATCAGTGGTAGTCATAATTGCCTCTGTATGCTGCTGAGAGTGACCACAATGAGCCTTTAATTCCTTACTTGCCTCTAGGGTTGCCACCTGTCCCGGTTTTCCCAAGATCATCCCTTTTTTGGGGTAGCTGTCCTAGGAAATTTGTAAGGGTGCTCAGTGCACACACCGAGCTGTCCAATTTTATGAGCTAAGAAACATCCCAGATGTCCAGGTTTTTTGTACCTCAGAGGTGGCAACCCTACTAGTAGCCCCTTAAACCTGATTATAATGGGACACAAGGAGCACCTCTTCGGAACTCCTGTGAAAAGCTGGATCAGTACTCCCCAGCTTGGCTCAGAGCTTCAGGGGCTCCTTCACAATAAGAACAAGGATAAAATATAGGTCTGTGGAGCTTAGGAAAGGATTTTGATGAACCTGGTAAGCAAGAAAGGGGTCATTCTCATCAGCCCTCTCACCCTTGCACATCCCCTTCTCCTGATTAGATAGAAGGAAAGACCCTGATCCAGGAAATGATCTGGTTCTTGGGAAAATAGCAGCAGCTTGGGAGCCAGATGCAAGGAGAGAGCCCCAAGGAGCTATGTACAGAGCAGGCTGCAGCAGAAGCCAGGACACAGTCATTGGAACAGGGTGTGACTATCGGACATTATAGCTGCGAGCAGGTCTGTGTGGGCCTTCTGAGGAATCAGCAGTTCAGAGGGGCTCTTCTATTTGAACCTGGGCTGGAAATCTGCAAGGTCCTATTTGATTTGAATAGGAAGACTGGACTGGAGAGGCAGCCCAAGCACTAGGCCTGAAGAGTCCTAACCTTTCTAATTATAACCTTTTTGTTATATGTTGTCTAATTATAACAGCTATGTGCTGTAAACCTTTCACACATTTTAGTTGTACGTTATCTGAATGGGTCATATTATCCAAACTCAACAATTAGGTGTAAAACGGCTAATGATGTTCAGGTTAGATCTTATATATGATTAAAATCAATAATTTGTTCTAACTTTCCAAGAGAGTTGTAGTAATTTTGTTATAAAACTGGTAACCAATACATCCAAACAATTAACAGTGTGATTGTTAGTATTAAATTCCAAACCTAAAGTAGAATAGAATCTTTTCAGTTCAGCTACAAAATGCTTGTAGGTATCAAGACTTAACTTCCATATCCAAAGTATATCTCCCATTTAATGCAATCATTTATAGGGAATAAATTTTAACCTATTTTAGATAACTGATAAATATATGCCACATTAGAATTCATTGCAGTACCTCTTTTCTGAAGGAAAAACATTTCAAATTTAAAATAATTTTTATTCAACACCATTGAGGTTAATTGAATCGTGAATGTAAGAGATGTGTCATCATATTGCTCTTTATGTTAAAAGAAACAAAAATCAAAATCATTAATCAAAAATCATTATTGCCACTTCCCTGAGATTTTTGAGGTACAAAATCTCATTCCTGACCGATAGTGTTTTACTAGTTTGAATGTAAAATGAGGGCTAAAAGATAATTTATTTTAAAAATTAATAGTATCTCTAAGCAGAAATGATGGGAATTGATACACAAATGGACCCTGAATGGGATATCATTGACTATTTCTCACTGTCAAGAAATGGAGCGGCACAAAACTTGGCATCTATGGATATCTGTTGCTACAACCCATCTCCAGAAGCAAATGATTATTATTTACATAGCAGCAATAGTGGCTGGACACGGCTCGGACAAATATGACTACTCAGTCTGCCTCACTAAGTTTACTGTCTTGTGTATACAAACAAAGCAGTGGGAAATGAGAAGTGATAAGGGCAGGCTGATTGGACATGAAGTTTACCATGTTCCACAATTTTTGTTCAGATTTTGATTTGTTTTTTTTAGTGGAGTAAATATTTTCCCATGTGTAGTTTGGAAATCTTTTTCTGACAGAAGGATTGAGGATTGTGGTTCTCTACTGGTATGATTACCTGGCCTGAGAAAAACTTGCAGAACACCCAGATCCAAATTCTATTCTGGTTCCTGGGGCTACAGTAGTTGTGCATTCCACCAAAAAATTTATGATTCCAATGTACAGAATAGTCCACCTGGGATTTCCTTCCAAGTCAATCTGTGCAGACATTTATCTTCCGTATGGATAAGAAAACAAAGTGATGCAAGCTGTGAAACAAGTTTTAAAGTCAATTGCACTCTGTTCTTTTTAACCAGCTTCTGGGTCTGTTCAACATTTTAAGTGTCCTATTTCTGTGTAGTTCCTTCTGTTTGTTGCAATTTATGTATCCTGCAGCTGTTCTCAGATAATGGACATATTACTAAAACTTGCTATCCTTCAGTGAATGTGGTTTCAAGGTTTGAACTTTCTAAAAGAAAGCTCTCTGCCTAGTGTCCAATGGGTGTCAGTGGTCACATACATGCAACTTTTTCTGGATGTGTAGAATCACATGATTCAGGAAAAATGATCTGCATCAAAAAAGCAGTTCCATATACATTTTCTAGAGCTAGGCCATGCATTAGAAAGGTCCTGGTGGTCTCTCTGAAGTAGGTCTGTCCAAGTCCAGAAAAATAGCTCAAGAGTTGTTCCATGTGCAAGCAGTCAAAGAGTAACAAGAACCCAGCTCACCTTCTCTGAGTTCCGATGTTTATAGAACCAAATACCACTGTTAAAATGAATACAGCAGTCATGAACTGGCACAACTGCAAGTTTATAAATTCTAAAATCTGCCCTTTTCCAGTTAGGTAAAATCTTCCCAGTCCTACTCTTCATCGTACTTCTGTTTTAGATTGTATTTGGACATACTAGCTTATAATTAAATTCTTTAAATAATGAGGTAGAGCAATAAAGAGAGTGACTACTTCTGCATATTTGTGACTCCACATTTGATCATTCAAAAGTGAAAAAAATATTTTTTTTTCTTTCAGTTTTACAATCTGTCACAAGACAGAAGTTGTAAAAAATACATTAAATCCAGTGTGGCAGGCATTCAAGATCTCTGTCAGAGCACTGTGTAATGGAGACTATGACAGGTAAGATAAAGACAGTTCTATATGCAGAGGCCATTTTCTTTTAACTTACAAATTCTTGCATGAATAACTTCTGTAAGCATTGCTGCTTCTGAATTTTTTGGTTGAGTTATTTAATCTTCATTTTAGAAGACATAAAATTAGTTCAAAACAATGGTTAAATTAAAAAAAATATTTATCTGAATCCTTTACTTAGATGTGAGCAAAGTTCCTTTTAGGTGGGAGATAAAAGTCACAAGAAATAGGCATTTCACATAAATGAACAAGGCAAAAATATTAATCATGCAGCAAGTATCATGAGTAATTCAGACTAGTAAATAATCCTCTCTCCATCAAAAGGAGTCACTGCTACTACTGTGCACAGAAACTAGTTTCTGCTCTGCTTCAGTGAGAAGCAAATACTGATGCACTACTTTCCTCAGGGGTGGAACTTGTACATCAGAGGCTGCTGGGAAAAAGTCCCAGAAAAATAAGGTATTTTATCAAATGATTTTTGTCTGCAGTGTCCAGCTGCCACATACATAAGGACTGTGTGCCTGAAGTATATAGGAGTCAGACCAGCTCAAGACCCAACCATGCACAGAGTCTAGAAATGTTTGGCATCTTCAAAACTTCTTACAAATAGACATACTCCACATTAAATTCTGACAGGACCCACCAGAAAAAAAAGTTTAACTCTACATGTTGACTACCTCTCATTGTTACCACCAGTGTTTTCTAGGTGCACTGAGACATTGCTGCAATTGCAACTGGCCCCTCTCAGCCCATTTATCGTGTCCCTGCTTCCTTGTCTCAACCTTGTATCTGGAGCTGTTGGGACATCTCATCCAGGCCTCAAAGGACACCAAAAATGTACACAGCAATCTATCACTCAGCCTACTCCAAGTAGTCAGTACTAAGCAGCATAAGAGCAAGAAGCATTCTCATTCACCAAGAGTTGAGAACCACACTTTCATGATAATAAGCCTAGCAAGCCTTTCTCTCCCTAAAGGATACAAAGAAATCCAAGCCTAACTGACCCAAAGTTTTTGAGGAGAAGAGGAAATTTCTTTATCATTCTTATTGGAACTGTAGGTTGAGGACACTTTTCTGGGTATTTTTAATATTGAGGACCCAAGCAGAGTAGAGTTCAAGGCTCTTGTCTCAGTATATTGCACTACTTTCTGTAGTAAAGAAAAAAGTTTTCCCAATGATTACAAAAATGAAAATTGTCCCCATATGTTCCAAGCCAGCGGACAAAAAGGATCAATTGTGTTTGAAAAGGGCCTGGACAATAAATCTTAGCTGACAAAGGTGTTTAATAAATTATGAAACGCTCCTTAAGGATAAGTGGAATTTTTTGAATTTCCTTATGAAACTCTTTATGAATTCCCATATTTCAGAGGGCTCTAAGAAATTGTATATTCACTTATAGCGAACAACTTCATCTGACCTGTCAGACAGGAAGAGGAAAGCACTTTAAAGGAGGTATATATTTGATACAGGTGACGAGGGCTTGATAGCAGATCTAAATGCATCTTTTCTCACTAAAGACATTGACATTCGGGTAGTGCCATTATACCTACTGATTTTCTAGCCAGTGCTATTTTGAACTCTTTCTAGATATTTTGCTAAATGATGTTGAAAACAACACACATTCCTGTAATGAATTAATCCAGTAATGCTTTAAAAATCAAAAAAGCATTTTCAGATCTTATCAGTCTTACAAATCTATCATAATACATCCAAATTCCAACTTCCTGAAGATCTCCCCCATCACACCTCATTCATGTAGGGAAAGAATAACCTGTTTTCTCAGAGTGAAAAATCCAAAATGAAAAAATATGTTTTAGAATACAAGAAACTTAAATCCTTTTGGTATATAATAGCAGTTGTACACCAGTGTGAACTTTCAGAATCTATAGGTTTTGAAGACACATTTAAATATCTCTTGCACGTCTCATGTGAAATGTATAAAATTGAAGATCAACAGCTAGCCTTCTCACTATGGAACCCTCTTTGGGGAGAGTATGTAGCCCTGCTCAAAGAAGAGTTGCCCATCCTGAAATGGGCAGAAAAGAAACTTTTGGCACTCAGTCATTCACATAGCTGGAAAAATAAATATCGCTACAGACTGGCTGAGTCTTTCTACCATGTACCCTAAGCAACGGAGGAGCCTTTTCCCCATATATATCATCTGATTTGTAGGGGTTAGAGAACTCATGGGAGATTTGGCTATTTGCCACAATTGAAAAGTGGTAACTATTCTACAGCAGATCCACGGTACCACATCAGAAGCATAGACAAGTTATCTGTTGTTTTTGTAAAAATCCCAACATTACCCATACCTTCTCTCTTAACCCTTATTCCCAAATTGCTAAGAAAATTGCACCAAGTTGGTCTCCCAAGTGTCTGGTTTGTTGAACTGACACTTTGGACTATGGAGAAGCCCTGGCAGCCACATAAACAATCTTTTGTCTCGGGAACTGATTTACCATGACAGTTTTCCACTATCTATCACTGTGGCATGGTTTGTGGCTGAAGTGTCAAGTTGTGTTTGGCTAAGTAACTAGCACTCCTCTCAAATCTTGAAGTCAAATAGCAAATACTAGAATAACAGCCTCCTTGTGATGTGCTGCTTTTTATGATAAACTAACAGGGGTATTTCCCTTCCCAGTGCCAATTCTAATTTTCATAATTTTTTACCAGTGAGACAAACTAGTCTTTGAAGATGTTTCCATCTTCATTGTAAAGAGTAACTTTCACACTAATCAGGAGGCATCCTTCACTTCCTTCTCCATGAACCTGAAATACGTTTTTAAAAAAACACATTATATATTAAATGATGCGGTCTAAGTCCTTAAATTTTACTTGGAAGAGAGAGAGACTATCCAGACTACCTCATCCCCTCATTGCCTCTTTTACAAGACAACAGAGAGGCAAAACAGCTCCCAAAGCATTGATTTCTTCTTTAATTCATTCAACTATTTGTGAAGCATATCTCCAAGGAAGAGTTCCTTTCCAGGAAAGAACATCAAACCAGTAGTCTGAGGACTAAAATTAAGTAATCTAATGTGTTTTAAAAGAAGGAGGAAAATCAGTAGGTATATTTTCTTATGTCCCTAGTTCACTTCATTGATATTAAATAGAGTCCATTCAGTACTGGAGCTTTTCAGAAAACAGAATGTTCCTCTTCCCGTAAATGGTTTTTCTGAGAAGATACAATCTCCTGGTGTTTTTGTTACGGTATCAGTAGTGATGTTTGATGTTAACAAGGTCTGTTAGTGTGTTAGTTCTAGGGAAGCCATTTTCCTCAATACTGTATACACTAGCAGCAGTGACACCTTGAAGCAGGAGAATTTTCTCCCAATTTCTAAATATGTCTATCGATCACCCATAAAGAGTCGGAGGCAGGGAAACAGGTAGGGAAACCTTTTTTCATTTATGTTATCATTCAGCATTTGCTGCTCTCTCTGACTCTGAAGACTGTCTTATGGATGGATAAGTGGCTAATAGTTTAGCAATTTAGGGTATAATTTCCTAAAATATAAAGATCACATTGTCAAAGTTGTGCGTGTTGGATGCATGCATAAATAATATTAAGAAATACATAGCAATATAAGAATTGCTATACTGGATCTGATTGCTAAACTAATCCAATATCCTGTGTCAGACAGTAGCCAATACTATATTCTTCAGAAAGAGGTACAAGATGCTCTCTAGACTACAATTAAGGAATAACCCATCCCTAATAGGAGTTTCTTCCTAATCTTGTCAATTAGTGGGTAGTTGTAAATCCTTATTTTTTTTTTTATTCTAACATTCATGGATATAGCCATTATCCATGTAAACGTCCAATTCTGTTTTTAGTCCTAGAAAGGTTTCAGCCATAATAATATCTGGTGGCAGTAAGTCCACAACTTAATTATGTGTTGTATAAAGAAGTTTTTCCTCTTGGTTTAAAATTTGCTAACTTTTTCAATTACATTGAATGTCCCCTGGTCCTTGTATTATAAATAGGGCAATGATTTTGTCACGGAGGTCACGGCAGTCACGGAATCTGTGACTTTCAGAGACCCCAGTGACTTGAGTCCCCAGCACCTGGGAGCTGTAGGGTTTTCCGCCACTCCTGGAGCCGGAGCTCCGAGGCGGCGGGGAGACCCCAAACTCCTTGCTGCTGCAGGCAGCGGGTCTCCCGGGAAGTCCCAGCCACTGTGGGTGACGGGTGTGCCTCGCTGCGGGCGGTGGGGGGACCCTGCACCTCCAAGCCAGCCCCCCCCCCCCCCCCCCCCGGTTGATGTGGGGAGCCTGCAGCTCCCCATTTTGTCATGGATATTTTTAGTAAAAGTCACGGATAGGTCATGGGCGTCTGTGAATTTTTCTTTGCCTGTGAACTGTCCATGACTTTTACTAAAAATATGCATGACAGAATCTTAGCCTTAATTATAAGAAATGGTAAATGGAGCATTTGGTTTACCTTCTGCATGCCATTCATTTTTTGGGGACTTCTGTCATATTCTCCCGTTATAACAGTTCCAGAGTTTTCAGTTTCTCTCATGAAAATCTTTCCAGGTCTCCAGTTATTTTGTCACCTGATTCTAAATCCCTTCTGTTTTTGAGATGCAGTGACCAGTTCTGAACATGGTAATCCTGGTGTGGGCATTCTATTGATTTATTATGATAGCATCATGTTTACATTACATTTATGCATCCTAATTTGTCCCAGACACCGCAGAAAAAAAGGCAAGATACCAAGAACATGGTTTAACTAGGGTGTAACTTTATTAAGTAACACATCCAGTTATAACTCATCTACTGTCATCCTTCCCGTTCTACTTGAGGGAGGGGGGCTGTCTTCAACCTCCACACACACCTTTAACTTGGTCCCCACACTGTTTCTGGGACCCATGCCAACAGAACAGGTGGGTCAGCACCCCTGCAATGGAAATAAACTCTCACATGCTGAGGGGGAGGGGCATCGGCTTGGAGGTGAGAGCAGGACCCATGTGGGCTGAAGTGGCTGCTGCAGGGCCCGTGATCAGGCCAGGGAGCAGGGAGTGGAACCCGGAGGGGCTTGACTGGGCCTGAGAGTAGGTAGGAACTCTTTGGGCCCTCCTTCCCATCCTAGAGCTGGCTGCCCCCCCAACTCGCTAAGCTCTCACTCTCCTCCCCTACTCCTCCTTCTATCCTTCCAGCCCCCATTTTTAGGGTGCTTATGCCCTCCAGCTGGGATCCCCCAGTGCCCTCTCCTCACGTGAAAGATGATGATCTGAGAAAAAAGATTTGTCTCCTCACTGTACCAGATTTAGAAGCCAAAACTCCATTCCTCATCTTCTTTAGGAGATGCCTTCTTCTAATCTGCTTCCGTTCCTGTTTATCAGGGAACCAGACCCCTATTGTACAAGCACCTACACTGGGTACCAGCTGTGTTGTGACAACATGAGTTTTACAATCTAATCTATCCACTGGGTACCTGAGCTGCTGAAAAGAAGGTGAAAATACCCACAGTACCCATGCCAACTTGGTAATTCTATCCCGGCCACCAAAGGGCAAACCTGGTCCTACTGTAGTCCCAAAGAGGAGGGATTTGTTGATCCTGAGTGCAGAATAGCAGTTTAGACAGGGGGAAGTGTTTATAAACCTGCCCCTTGAGCAGGGCCGGCTCCAGGCACCAGCCCACCAAGCTTGGGGCGGCACCTGGAGGGCTCCGGGGAGAGCGGGGCCACGGCGGGGCTCGCCGCCCTTCCCCCGGCGCTCTGGCCGCCGTCCCCCCGGCCGCCGCGGGGAGAGCGGAGCCCCGGCCAGGGCTCGACGCCCTCCTCCCAGGGCTCCGGCCGCCGGGGGGAGAGCGGAGCCCCCGCCGGGGCTCGCCGCCCTCCTCCCAGGGCTCCGGCCGCCCTCCTGGGGCGGCAAAAAAGCCAGAGCCGGCCCTGCCCTTGAGTGTGTAAGTGCCAGTAGGATTATGCCACTTCCTCCTATTCTTGCTTAATCAGTCAAAGAGGGCGCCCCCCGCAAGCCCATGAGGAACAGGGGGGCAAAGGAGGGATGCGCTCCTTAAAGGGGCAAGGGTTTTCCTCTGCTGGCACAGTCCGTCTCCCCACCTCTAAGGTGGCAGGGATATGGGTCAAGTTTGCCATTTTGACCACTGCAGTATGTTTAGCAGAGGCTTTTATTGAGCTGTCCCCATTGACAGGTCTTTTTCCTGAGTAGTTAGTTACTTTCAATTAAGAACCAAGAAATGTGTAGGGTAGTTCATATGATTACTTCTAATGTGCATTGCCCCTCTGAAGTTCCTCGGTCTTCTCTAGTTTTTGACTAACCTAAATACCTTTTATTTCTCTTCGGCAAATTTTGCCTGCCCACTGTCCATGCCCTTTTCCGGATCATTAATAGACATATTAAATAACACCAATCCTAGCCAGAACTCTGGACCACCCCACTGTTGAACTTTCTGTATTATCAATATGTGAGAGATGGTATTGTTAGCAGGTTTTGTGCTTGCACCTGAGGCATATTCTGTGGAAATGATCCCGTAAATCCCATGTAAAAAGAATAACTTTGTCTTTAATGAAATTTTAATTGTATTTATTTTCATTAACTCTTTTTTTTTTTATTTGAAGAAAATTACTTGGACTAAAATGAATTTAGTATTAAATCTTAGCTGGTATAAAATGTTTTTTGTAGGGTGCTGGATGGCTAAAAATGTTAAATAATGGGAAATCATAACTAAATAGCTCAAGGAAGTATTTTCTACTGAAACTGAGCAAACAGCCAAACTGTCTGACCTTCCTGCTTTTAATGGAAAATTAATATTTGAAAACAGAGTTCATTTTCATTAGCATATTTTGTTTTCAAATATTAAGCATGGTGTTTAGTGAAAACTTGCATTTTAAAAACATGTTTGTTTATATAAATTTTTTTTTTGCAGAACGATTAAAATAGAGGTGTATGATTGGGATAGAGATGGAAGGTAAGATACTTCTGTATTACAAGTCACTAAAATTGGATTATGAAAATGTTATGTATTTTAAAATCAATCTTAGGGGTTAATTGTTCTTTAGTGAGAATTAGATATGCATATAATGTCGATAGCTATTATGTATGTGTATCAAGAAAGTAGTACAGTTCCACATAATTACTTCCTTGTTTCAACTAATATCCTTTTTAGATTATTGTAGAAAAGGCCTAATCCTGGCATAATTTCCAAAGCTCACTAACGGTATGAGAGCTGCTTGGACTTTGCAATATTGAAGCTACTCTCTAATAATAATTCCAAACAGGATCTGCAAGTTTGTTTACCCAAGGGTTATTGTAAGCCCTAGGGCTATAGTAATTCTGCTGGGCATGGTCAACCTGTAGAGCGTAGGTGGAGCTCTTCACTTGAACTTGTTTCAAAAGAAAGGATTTGTTGTGCACCTTTCCTGCTCTCCTTCGTTCAGTAGATGTTGAGATCCACATCACCAAGTACAGCAGGAAACCACTCCCAATACTAGGCTCCATGCTGAACATGAAGAGATCTAATGCTTAGATTCAAGTTGGCTGCTGTTACTTTTTTTTATTGGCTTTATGCTTTATTGGCTAGTTGACACTTTTAGCTTCTGAATATGCTGTTTGGTTAATGAATATGCAACATTTTAATTGATTTTTTTGGTGACAGAAAAGATTTAGATAACAGTTAAAACTAACTTTATAAGTTATTTGTTCTGAGATTTTTAAAATTTTTATTACTTTGACAGAAAATGAAATTTTGTTTTGAAAAAGTTGAAACTTCTATTCCTTACATAAGTTTTTGGTTCTTAAAGTAGTTATTAAAATTAAATAACTCTTGGAAAGTCTTTGGCCTAAGTTATTATTTTACATGACAATTTTTGAAATGAAGATTTTCTTGTATTTTTGCATTGGGTGAGGTTTTACTTGTGTGTTGCCAGTAATTAATTAATTCCCCATTAATATAAATATTTTGTACTTTAATAGCGTTATATATTTAGTAATTAATCTAGCATTAAATAGTCTTGCTATATTTGTACATTAAATATTTTACTACTCATATAACAAAGATATTAGGCAGTAATTATACGAAGGCTTGCATTTAGATACAAAATATTTCCAAATATACATGTTAAAATAAGCTTACGCCATCTTAGGCATTTGAGAAACAAACACCAAAGATTTAAGTGGAAACGTGACTTCCACCATAAATATTTTCCAATGTTATTTTTTAAAGAATGAATACTTTAGTATATTTACAAAATAAATTAATTGAAATACGGATAATTTTGGAACTTTTTGTTTGGATTTAAACTCAAGTTTTTCTTTTAAAAGAAAAGAAGCGGATGGGTATTTTAGGTCCACTTTACCTCTAGATTTATTGCTTTGATAACACAACCCTTACAATCAGGTTCCTTCCTAAAGGTGTTTACATGATTTGTTTGCTTGTCCTTGAGAGCTAGAAGCAGAAATCTTTTTGGAATGTTTTATTAGCTTTAACATTTTGTAACATAATTAGCTAAACTTGTGTATTGTCGTATTTTCAAGCATTCTGGCTATAACATTTTTGTAGTTATATTCAATAAAGGTGAAAACAAGTTTGTAAAAACGTTAAAAAAGTTTGTTATAATAATTTTATTAATATTTTGCATCAATACTGAGGTCTGTCCCCTCACAAAGCATTCCCTTAATCTGCTTTACGAACTATGTGATCAATGGATTCTACCACAGGGGGGTGAGCAGTATCTGCAGAGCCACTATTTCCCCTCCCAAGCAGGTAGATGGACAGGTAAAAGGAGTGAGTAGAGCCTTGGCTCTTCCCCTCCAGTGCACAAATCAGCATAGTTCAGGACTGACCTCTCCCAATTGCAAATTACTTCCTTCCCCTTCCCACCCAACACGCTTCTCTCAAACACACACTTGACTCTGTCATGGTGCAAGTGGGGAGCCAGAGAGAGAATGGAGGACTGTTGACAGTTCCTTTCAGGTTCTGTTCACGGTGCACAGTCTTTATTCAGAGCTGGTTGTAAATTTGCAATCTAGCTCTTCATTCTGTGTGGGTACAGTTAACATAAGCTATCAGATGGATTCAATCAAATCTATTTATAATTATGATTTGGGGGGGGGAGAGTAATGAACATACATTATATTTAAGTCAACAGAATAACAAGTCTTTTGCTATCATTGCTTTTCTCACATGTCTATTCATGTGTCAGCTGTGCTTCACTTTAGATGTATTTTTGTAAATTAATGGAAAAGTAGTTTATATTGTGCATGTGTTGATTTGAAAACTTTTTTTTTCTAGCCATGATTTCATTGGAGAATTCACAACAAGTTATAGGGAATTGTCTAGAGGGCAATCACAGTTCAATGTATATGAGGTAAATATTTTGAACTTTTCTTTATTTATCTTGAGGAAATGGATAAAGTTGAGAACTTGCAATGTTTGCTTGTCAAATTGGTCAGTGTGCAGGTTTACTATCAGAATCCAAGCCTTTATAAAGGGGAAAACAGACATTCTGGGTCAAAAAGGATTGTTTCAGAAATAAGTTTAAAAGCATACGTTCTTTGGACAAGAGCGGTATCTTCAGTGCTGTTCGAAAAAATTAACAAAAAATAATCTCTCTTGTTCTATAGCTCTTCTTTCTCAGTATAGTTGTTTTTTTATTTCTACACAAAGCTGTTTTAAACAGTGTGTATGTGGCAAACAGAGCTTGCCTAAACTGCCAAAGTAAGCAGTTAAAAGAAAAAGAAACACTTGTAACCTTGTAATCTTTGCTTAGTGTTTCATTTCAGAATGTATCACTGGATTTATTTTGTCTCTATTGCAGCCATGAAGCTAAATTGTAATAGGTTTATTTTAAAAAGTTTAATCAGGCCTCAGGCTAGATTTGTCAGATGATGTGTTGGTTTCCTAACATCAGTAGTCATAACCACATGACCTGCTCCAATTTATTAAAAAGGAAAATGTTCATTATACCACAGGAAGAAAATTAAATTCAGTAAATATATTCTACCAACGTATAGTAAAGGCTGGTTTCCCTTATGTATAAAAGGCCATTCTCTTCTTTGAACTTGGGTGGTATCTGTCCTCCTGGAGCCAGTCAGAACTACATTCAGCAGGCATCTGGTGTATACCTTATGATGCCAGGACTCTCTTCTCCTGGTTTGTTGGACTGTGAAGGAAGAACTTCGTTTCTTTTTGATATGTGGCTGCGCAGTACCACTGTACATGTGAGCAGCAGCTGCCTTTCCTGTCTCTGCGGTATTGGTAACCAGAGAGGAAAAATACCTTTTAGTGTCATTCCACATAGTAGTTGCTGATTTCCTTCTTGAAACTTACAAGGTCTTGGAGAAGGGCAGGCATGGACAGTCGTGTCAGTGACCTCAGTGGGATCACCCCAGAGGTGCCAAGTTTTTTGTCGCTCCATATATGACATTTAAGAACATAAGAATGCCATACTGGGTCAGACCAAAGGTCCATCGAGCCCAGTATCCTGTCTACCGACAGTCGCCAATGTGAGGGTGTCCCAGAGGGTGTGAACCTAACAATGATCAAGTGATCTCTCTCCTGCCATCCATCACCACCCTCTGACAAACAGAGGCTAGGGACACCATTCCTTACCCATCCTGGCTAATAGCCATTAATGGACTTAACCTCCATGAATTTATCCAGTTCTCTTTTAAAACCTGTTATAGTCCTAGCCTTCACAACCTCCTCAGGTAAGGAGTTCCACAAGTTGACTGTGCACTGTGTGAAGAAGAACTTCCTTTTATTTGTTTTCAACCTGCTCATTTCCCTCATTACCTCCCTGCTTTCCTCTTAGGAGTGGGGGCAAATATGGGCAGGACACAGAAGCACAAGCTAACTCCCCCAGAGAAGTGGAAGCAAAATTGTGTAGAAGGGGAGAGTCAGGAGCCCAAAAGCAGGTGATGTGTCTGTCACAATTCAGGGCGACTGCACCTGTATTCCCCTCTGAGGTCCATCAAGGGCTGCTACTCTAGGCTCCTGGCTCATCACTCGTCACCTCTCTTAGATGGAGACCTTTCCCTCTCTCTCCTTTCTGACTAGAGTGTTTTTCCAGGCAGCATGGTTCCCTGCCTACACTGATATTCCCAGCAACCCAGATTGCCTAAACAGGCCTGTGTCTGCCCCAACTCCAACAAGGCCTCTGATAGGCGTCAGTCCTTCAAGCCTCTCAAAGAGTTTTTTCTGTGGTTACAAGTTCACAACAGCCTTAGCTCAGAACTAGCACACCCATGAATTGTTCAGTCTTTCATTTATACAACTTGGGCCTTTGAACTTCATGTTCAAGGAACTGTTATGGCAGACAGTGGTCCTCTCCTCAGGGTGTACCTTCAAAAGGCTGGATTTTTACATAACCAGAGATGGAGAATTTGCATGCACCTTCCCCTACAGATTACCCAGGTAAACCATTTGACACTGTTTGTCGCAAAAGTCCACTCTTGTCTGGGACATTGTTTAGTATAGTCCTTTGAAGTTCATAACACTTCCCAGTATTCACATCCAATCTCCCCGCCCCCTCCCCCCCCCAAGAGAGGTGGTTCTTCGAGTGATTGCTCAGGTGTATTCCACAATAGGTGTGCGTGCTCACCATGTGCACCAGTGCCGGAAGTTTTTCCCTTAGAGGACCCGTAGAGGAGCGCCCCTAGCAGCCCCTGGAGTGGTGCTGCCATGGCGCAGTATAAAGGGTGCTGCACGCTCCCCCCACCCTCACTTCCTTCTTGCTGCCAGTGTAGGTGCTTTGGAACTAGTCTGCTCCATCTCTGCTGTAGCTTTCCCTCTTTGGACTTTGTTAGTTCGTAGTGCCTGTATAGTGTCTCTCTCTCTCTCTCTCACACACACACACACTCGCGCGCTCGCTCTCTCTCTCTTTCTCTCTCTCTCTTACTTTTAGTTAGAATTAGTTAAGTGCGTCCGGATTGGGGCATGCCCCGGGCTTTAAGTCGTGTGACACTTGCAAACGGCCTATGTCCGTGAGTGATCCGCATGCGGACTGTTTACCCTGTCTGAGGGAAACCCATCTCAGCGACCGCTGCAAGATTTGCAGATCCTTCAAACCTCGGACCAAGAAGGAGTGGGACATTTGGCTCCAAGCCATTTTGATGGAGTCGGCCCTGACCCCGACACCGCTGCACCACTCCGAATCGGCACAAAGAGCACCACGGCATCGGTGCACAGCGACGCAACGGTGCCCTCCACCAGTTGGCACCGCTCTCTGTCCCAGGACACTCTAAAAAGGTGAAGAAGATGGCTTCTCCGCCAAGGCACCGGAACAAGGCTGGGAGAGAGACTAGACTCGTGTTGGGTAGCTCTCAGTCCCCATCGGCCTCGCGGCCTCCGACTCAAGTCGAGCGGAGTAGCTCAGCCCACTCCGAGCTGACCTCCTCGGACGCCAGTGGCCACATTTGGGTGCCCTCCATGCCGGAGGCCCTGCAGGCGGCTCGAGACATTATGTCTCTACCGGTACTGGTAGCGCCACCGTCAATGGCTCCCCGGTCCAGAGGCAAGCTGCCACTCGGACCCCCACAGTTGCCGCCTGGACGGTACCGCTTACGGTCAAGGGAAGGTTCCTGATGCCATTCTCTGCTCAGTGACTGCCCTGTGCACAGCCTGCGCTGGTCCCTGTTGACCCCCACCAGGTTGTCTGGCTGAATACCGACCAGTAGGCGTTCCAGGCACTGCTTCGCCTCGAGGGAACGAAGACCTCACGATGAGAGCATGCCCCGCCAAGACCAGGACAGATGGCACTGGAGGTCATTATCTCCGAGAAGCTATTGTAGCCCCTCGCGGTACGGATGTCGGCGCTGTTGTCAGATGCTACCGGTGTGGTGCTCTGCTTTCTCCTATGTTGATATCACTCGGCTGCGTGCGTGTGTTCCCTCTGTGTGCTGCCCCAGCTCTGCGCAGATAGCTGACACAGCAGACCTGAAAAGAACCCCCAATGACCACAGAGTCTAGTAAGATGCAAAGTCACGTCGACCAGGTTTATTGCAACCTCGGACACAGTTGCAGTTCCCCGTAGATTACTTAGTCTACTGGGCATACTACGAGAAAGTGCCTCTTGGCAATGGACCCGGCTCAGTCAGTGGCGGGACTTTCCACTGCCCCCTCGGCCGGACAAAGACACCACCCCAGGGATACACTGTTATACACAGGTACAAACAAGTTACACGTCACTCCTGACATATTGAGGTGCAACCCCTCTACGCAGCAAGGTACAACCCCTTTACGTAGTAAGGTGCCGCCTCTCACCTTGTACATGTTGTTGGTTTGAACAAAACAACTCTATCCATCATATTACCCTTTTGGCCCTGTCATTGGGATGGGTCGGCCTGTTCCTTGTTATCTGTGTGGAATGTGCAAGTATTGGAGCGTTCTGATATCTAGTGTTCCGTACCTTTTAGGTATGTATTTTCTTGCAGCATCAGCCCTTTCCTTGCCAGCTTCTGTGAGCAGGGCCTGCCTCTGGCTCACAGCTTAACTTTGCTTTATGTTAGCAAAGTCTTGACCATTACTTTAGTTCAGGCCTCAGGCCTCATATTGGGCCTCTGATAAGGGTTTATATCTCTCAGGGCCTCCTCTTACTACAGACACCATTTCCACTCTTTGTCTTGTTCAAGGTCCCTGCCACGGCATTGTTCCCACAGCCCCAAGTGTCAATTGCCGGCACCCTGCCGTCGCAGATCCGCCCGTCGGAGCCATTCGTGGAGCAGCCACTGTAGACGGTACCCCTGTTCCTCCATGCCAGGATCACGGTCTCGTGTTCGGCACTGCTCCCGCCGCTGCCACTTGTCCCCGTCCAGGGATAGCGGTTGATCGTATGCCAGCCTGGCCTCCCTTCAAAGTTGACAGTCAGTGGGCCAGGCGGGACAGCCCGCTCCGATGGTGCCACAGCAGGTGCAGTCGCACTGGGCTCCCTGGCCAGCACCATGGTACCAATGGGCCCCGTGGGCCCCGACGCAGCACCTGGTGGTGGCCGGAGCCTCAGAGAGACCATCAGCCTCCCGCTCTCAGCCTCCCAGAAAAAAGTTAGTGGAGCACTCATCCCCAGTCCTACACTCAGAAGGGGACCAGGTAGTGGACCTGCGGCACGCCCATCGTCATCCTTCCCTGATGAGGCAATCATGGCCCCTCCTCTGCCTGTCTTCTAGGAGGACACGAAAGCCCACCAGGAATTGTTGAAAAGGGTGGCATCAAGCCTCAACCTACAAGCTGAGGAGGTGGAGGAACCCTCAGACTCCCTCTTCAATGTTCTCTTGGCTTCAGCACCAGCCAGGTGGCTCTCCCACTCCATGAAGGGGTGGCAAAGATCTCGAACGCCCTGTGGCAAACCCCAGCTTTCTTGCCCCCCCCCCA